TAAAAAGGTAAATATTTGTCAGTGACTGTTGACCTGTCCAGGGTGTACCAGCCACGCTCCAGTTATTCTGTGACCCTGAACTGAATAAGTGGTTAAAAAAATGGATGAATTTGGCAAATTGAAAAACAAAGCATATAAAGATGGACTTGGCACTGAGAAATCTCTGCCCTCATTATTCTCCAGTAAACGTTTATTGTAGGTGCTGATTCAGCACCATCACAGCATTTTTGCAAATCACCAGTGTCATTTATTAACTTCAAGAAGTGTGTTTACATTTAAAATCTTCATTAAGACTGTAGAAAATCTCTGTGGTGCTGGAGGAGTTAAACAGTTTACACTTTCATCGTTGTGTGTTTACGTTCTCCGACTGACCGGTGTGAGGAGTGTCTTTTGGCATATAAAATACATCAAGAACAAGCGCAGAGGAAATGAAGGTAATGAGGGAGACAAAATGACTGTGAAGCTCAATTAGAATGAGTTAAGGAGAAGGACAGGAGCACGGAAAAGATGACTTGATGCGCTCCTTAAACATTTATATTTAGCCAGCTAAAGGAGGGACTGTGTTGCCCTGCCTGTAGCAGGAAGGTCACTGCACCACAGGGGAGCGAGGAAGGAGAGGAACCAGAGCAGGTGGACTGCTGGCCGAGCTCTCACAAGGAATAAAGGGAGATACAGTATGCCTATCCTTTAAAATCCTACAATAGCACCTCAGTCTAAACACTGCTAAATACTACATAAAGAATATCTAAAACGTAATTCAAAATACAGAAATATCTTTTTACCCACAGCCTGAATAGCACAGGAGAAAATTAGCATGCTTTTAGTAAGTCATCTGCCAGGTGACAAGTGAACAGATTAAGTGACATATGAAGAGTGCTACTGATAACAGCAGGAAGGAGCAGTGGGGGAATCACTACCACAGCTTAGAAGTATGACCTTCAGAGTTTATTTCAAATGACAAACCAGTACATCAGAAAGTTTACTCCGGTTAAACTTTTACTTTTATGGTCAAGTATGTGATCCTTAAACTTTGCCATGTTTAGCACGTATACTATAAAAACGTACATGAACTTAATCTATCATTAAACATTTTCTTTGTCTTTGTTGGATTGACATCTACAGTATATGCCTTGACTAAATTAGACCTACCTAAACCATCTGTCTTACCATGTCTCTTTTTAGCACTGGGTTTAAATGACATTGAAATTCAGAAAGTTTAAAGTTAGATTCAAGATTATTATTTTTTCTTACACCACTAGCAAAGCAATTTAGGACCCGTTTCATGTCTACAGTGGCAAGAAAAATGGAGGAATCTCAAGCGTCTCAGACAGTTTTACAAGATAAAACTTCTGTAAAGTCTTTTGTTTGTGTTTTTGCATGAGAGGATTTAGTTTTATTATTTTCCAAGGTTTGAAACAAAAATTAAAGACGCTGTTCTCAAGCCAGGTGTCATTAACCTTCTGCTTTCCCATATTAGACAAAAAGAAAATTAAAAGGAATAACTTTAAATTCATTAACTCTAAAAATATCTGTCTTTTTGATGAGAGAAGATGGCTCTTACCAACACATCGTGACCCACTGATTAGAGAGGCAAGATAAGATGCTGAAGATGGAACTACTATGCAGGAGAGAAGGAGGCAGATCACAGAGGAGGTTCATAAATGTAATTGAAGAGGACATACAGAGGGTTGCAGTGGCAGAGAGGATGGAAGATGATGCTGGGGATAGGCTAGATGATCTGCTGTGGTGGCCCCTAAAGGAAGCAGTGAAAGGAGAGGTAGAAGAAGAAATCCTGTGATACTCTCTGTTCCTGTTTTTTTTTGTTGCCTTTAGTGACTACCGGTGTGTTAGGATACGTTGCAGTCATTATTACTAATCAAACCCATAAAAATGTCAGTACAGGGATTGTTAAAGATGGTGATTAAGGATCTAGAGGAAACTGACTCAGGACAAAGTTCTAACTACTGCTGACTGAATCAGTCTGCAGGTTGTCTTACCATGGAAGTTGCGCCTGAGCTGGGCCTCCTTCTCCCCATTTTCATCGAATCCCTCCACCTTCATTTTTTTCCACTGCAGCTCATCTTTCTCCTGGATCTTCAGGTCACTGTGCAGCTCAGCCTGCCGGACTGGAGACAACTGCATCTGTTGAATCCAAAACAGCAGAAAATGTTGGCTTTGTTTGACAGGCAGAGGGAGAAAGTTTGCAGAAACAGAAAAGTACACAGAGAGTATTTTTTTTTCCATAATCCTAATTTTGCTCACAATAACAGTCTATTAAATATTGACCAAAGGTCTGATGAGGCAGCTGAAGAGGTAGTTAAATGCTAAATGATGCTCACTGGGATTAGCCGCAGTAAAACGCATTTTTCAACAATTTTCCAATACCAAGCTTGGCCCACCTTCTTATCTGTAAGTGCCTACTTCACAATGAACAAAAGACGCCTGATTTTTTTTTTTCCAACTAACGAAACGTCCACCTGATCCCCTGGGTCTGTGCATAGCTCAGTACGTCGATCATGTATCTCTTATTGCCCTGTCTTCATTGTTTCAGCATTTTCCTCAAATTATTTGTGCTACATAAGTCGTGCTGTTGATCGTCTTAAATACATACCCTTTGAGCTTTCTCCCAGACCTGGTTTAGCTTAGCTATCCTGAACTCCACTGCCTGCCCATCTTTGTCGTTCGGTTTGGGCTCATTCAGCTCCCGAGTGTATTTCCCGGCCATTACACCAACGCCGAGACACAAAGCTGCGAACAAACACTGCAGCCTCATTTTCAAAACAACTCTGCGCAACTAACGACAGAAAAAACACCACCAAAATACTTAAATGAACCACACAGCACCACAAACGGGGTATTGTTGTGGTTCACTGGAGCACCGAAAGTCATATGCTCAAAAGAGGCGGGCATTTCCGCGAGAAGTGCACTGTGGGATATGTATTTTCTTGGCGCAGCCTTTCTGTAGCTACTAAAGCGGAAAGAGCGTTCCTTGAACTACACTGGAAACGCCGCTCTGCGCTGTTACCTAGCAACAAGGCTGCAGACTCCGACAGCAAATAGAAAGCCTCCACGCGTTTACTGTACTAGTATGGATGCTGTCTCTATTTTCAAGTACCCGTTGAAAAGACCAAGTAACTTTAAAACACTGGGATGACGGAAACACCGCTTTCTTAAAGGAGATACCAAAGACGATACCTGACTATAACAGTCATCCAGTTAACTGGATGCGAAGTTTTTCTAAAAGAAAACGAAAAGAATTTGATATCCATTATCCATTATTATTATTATTATGGGATACTGTGTAAAATATAAGTAAAAACAAAAAGCAATGATTTGCAAATCTCATAAGCCCATATTTTATTCACAAAACTACACAGAAAACATATAAAATGTGTAAGCTGAAACATGTTTTTCAGCTTATGCATTTTAAGCTGAAATTTTTTTTTTTCAGCTTAAAATGAAAAATGTTCTCATTTTTTTGTTGGTACCTACAGCGAAGAAGGTGGGCCATTAGTTAACATTTCAATAAAAATGTTAACTAATGTTAAACTTGATGGCAGCAACCTTTTTTTACTACTTGTGTAGCATCGCCTCTTCTTTTAACAACAGTCTCTAATTATCAGTCCTGGCCATACTTTTTGTGTTTAATGATACAGCAAATGTTTTCAGTTGGTGAAAGAACTGAACTGCACACAGGCCAGTTTAGCATTGAAAGGCTACCTAAAGATTTGACTTTTTGTTTTATTACAATAAAAAATAAAACATTTACAAAAATCAAGCCTGCACATGAGTGACTAAAACCCATAAAAATAAGCCAGCAAACAAACAGAAACCCCTGCAAATCAAATCAAACCAAACAAACAAACAAACCAAAACAGGCAAACAGATAAAAAACTAAAAACTGTGTGCTCCTCCAAAATTGATCTAAATGCCAAAAAATGTATAAGGAGAAAAGCTTTTTTTGTTTGAAATCACTGAGAAACAGAAGAAAACTGCTTTTACAGTTTGGGTCAGTGGTCAGTTACCTAAGGACCCAACTGTTTATAAGTTTAATGGAGTTGACAGACACACACACACACACACACACACACACACACACACACACACACACAAATATTATTAATAGTTGGTTTTGCTCACTACATATCAAAAAAAGCTGAGATAATCAAAATTATTGAGAGACAAAATATTTTTTTTATTATTGATCCGACCTTGAGTATATTGTTTCTATAGCGTTCATGCTTATATACCACAATAACTGAAGTGTCTTTGTTCGACTATATTAAACTGTGAGGACAAAAAAAGTGAGACAGAAACACATTATACTGCACTTCTTGATAAAATTGTTTCAGAACTTTATTGTCAATAAATCTGATCCAGCTGAAATTGAATTGAAGTGAAGTGAGGCTGGGAGAGAGAAAAAAAATAATGGGTTTGTGGGTGCGTGCTATGCAGCATCTCACAGGCAGCATCAAAAGTCCAAAACAAATCACACAGTCATTTGATCAGAAATCTACAGTTTAACACAGTCCTTCAGTCGTTACCCAACAGGATGAATCCAGTCATATTCCCAACAGAATGTAGACATTAGTGTTTAAAAGTTAGTGGTCTGTGTCAATTCGATCATCTAAAAATGAAAAGATTTACATGTGCATATATTGAAATTTGAAGACACAGCCTGCCAAAAGCAAATAAACCAGATGTTTCTGTGATTTTGCAGAGTTCAGTGCATAAAGTAAGAATCATTGCCACAACACAACAACAGAATATTCATGCAATAATGGATCAAACTTACAAGCAAAATTAGAGGGTGCATATAAAAAGAGGAACAGAGCCAGAAAGCTGAAGCATCTAATGTTTGATGAATGCTGATGTATTCATGCCTGGATTTAATTGTAGTTTCCTACCCGGTTGTATAAAATGTGAAAAACAAAGTCAGACAAATGTTCAATAAATATCCTTTCAGGTTAAAACATTTTTAGCACCCATTTAGAGCACTGTTAATCAAACGGCGTTTCTACAAACTATCTCCCCCTTTTGATGAACCAAATTAATTCATAGTTAGAATAATTTGGCTGTTATGACTCTTTACTTTCATCAGTTGGTGTTCATTTACATATGTAAGAAACTAAAAAAGAATCAAAACGTTCTTGAAATTTTCAGCCCTTATTTCTCTCTCAGCATTTTCTTTTGTTTTTAATCTCTATTTACAGCTTCTACGTCTAACAGGCTTTGGTATTTAATGAGCAGAAATGTCCACCAGAAATCTGCTACTGATTGAGCCGCACTTAATTAATCTGTCTACCTGCCAATGGACAACTGGCTAGCATGAAAGGTCAACACCACCCAGTAAAAATATCAGAAAATTGCAAAAAAGATATACTTTTCATTCTCTGTCCCATCACAGCGGTCTACCACACCTGCAGCATCCCCATATGCATCTGTGCACTCAGTGAGCAATGTTTGAGTTAGTTAACTGATGAATAAATAACTAAACTTTCTCTTCCTTTCTATTTTGTTGGTAAAATTTTAGCAAGAACGGTTTGTGCTGTTGCATTGAAGTAAGAGTCTATGCCTTGTGCAAGTTTTATCTGAGTGTCTCTAGTTTCTTCCCATAATCCAAAGAGAAACTGTTCAATGATTATAACTGTTAGGCTGGATTATTGTAATTCATTATTATTGATCCAAAATGCTGCAATCAGAATACTGACAGGGACTGGAAAGAGAGCCAATTTCTTCCATATTGGCTTCTCTTCATTGGCTCCCTGTTAAATCCAATCAATTTTAAAATCCTTGTGTTAATGTCTTGTATAATCAGGTCCCATCCATCTTAAAGATGTCATAGTACCATATTGCCCCAGTGGAGCACTTCCCGCGCAGACTGCTGGTTTACTTGTGGTTCCAGGATATTTAAAAGTAGAATGGGAGGCAGAGCCTTCACTTTCAGACCCCTCTTCTGTGAAACCAGCTCCCAGTTTGGAGTCACTGAGACAGACACCCTCTCTACTTTAAAGATTAAGGTTAAAATGTTCCTTTTTGATAAAGCATATAGTCAGGGTTGGATCAAGTGAACCTGAATGAGTAATGCTGCAATAGGTCATGGCTACTGAGGGCTTCCCATGATACACTGAGTGGACCTTTTTCAGTCACTATGTGCTTCCACACCACACTGCATGTAATCATGAATCTCTGGCTCTGTTTACAGTCTGTCTGTTATTCTGGCTTCCTCATATCATCCCCAACGTGTCGTGCCAGATGACTGCCCCTCCTTGAGCCCAGTTCTGCAGGAGGATTCTTCCTATTGAAGTGGAGTTTTTCCTTCCCACTGTTGTCAAGTGCTTCCTCAAAGGGTCTCGTTTGATTGTTGGATTTTCTCTCTAATATTCTAGGATCTGTACCTTAAAATATAAAGCATCTGGAGGTGACTGTTGTTGTGATTTGTCTCTCTTTCTCACTCTCTCTATCGCTCTCTTTAATTGAACTGAAAATTGAATAATATGAAATCGGCCATATGGGCACAGGCATGTATGAATGGTCTCTGTTTCTCTCTGTGTGCAGCCTTGTGATAGTTTGGGGGGAAAAAGCATGTGTGCTTCTGTAAAAACGTGTCAAATGAGATGAACAGGAGTATTGTAATTAAGTAAGCAAGTAAGCCAAAACTCTTAGTAAAGTCACAAGAGAAAAATCAAATGAAAAATGATTCAAAATGTACTCTTGCCTTGACATTTTACCTTTTTTTTTTAACAGTGCACAAAGACAATATGTCTATAGATTAAAAAATATGATATTGGGCCAGAAATTCTGGCCCAACTCGGGCAAAAGTCCCTGGAGAGGTAACTCAAGAAGGGGAGAGAGACATTAGGCCAGTGGGAAGCTGTGTCACAACAAGGAGCGCCACAGCAGCACGACTGTTATATAAAGCATGCTTGATGATGGCATCAATTTGTCTCCCTTCAGCTTCCATTAGGTGGAAAGACAGAAATTGTTTGAGATGTTGTATGAAAGCAGTGAGACACAGGAGAAAAAGAAGAGTGAAACAAGTGAAGCAAAAACTGAAAAATGGAAAAAGCAAAAAGGAGAAAGGAAACGACAAAAAAAGGGAAAAACTCTCAGTTAGCAGACATTTGATCAGCAGGGCTCGATGTCTTGTGGGTGTTAAGGAAAGTCATAATGAAATAAAGAGTAGATTCAATCAGTGACCTGAAACAAACACAGTCGTTAAGACCAAGTCGCTGCAATAAACAGGCTTCGATTATCTTATTACTTGTGCTAATACAACCACAGAGAACAACAGCAGCAGGCCTCGCATTAGCGTAGAGTCTCTGCTTGGAAAAGCTCCTCATCAACAAAACTTTCAACATATTAAAATCTGTCGACAACTATTTCAAGGTTGTTTCAACAGAGCAGGCAATAATTTTATTATATAGGAACAATACCCAGTGTCCTCTATAGTATGCTTTTCTAAATAACTCTTGGTGAAGTAAAAACTGTTGTTAAGTGTTAATGCATATTTAATGGCTGCTGATATTTCAACTACGTTTGCTGACAGAGAAAACAAATAAAGTTAATTTCCCCCGCTATTTGTTTTTAATTATATTTTTTTCTTTTAATTATCACTCTATGCAAACCATATGAACCCTTTGATTTAGCAGCTCTTTTCACATTCTCTGGAAAAGAAATTTACTCGGATTTTCATCTTTATTTTGAATCCTGTAGGAGGTGAAAATGAAATAAAAAAAGAATCTTAACCTCAATGATGTCTAAATTAAAAGCCTATATTGCTGAGACAGTTTGTGCAAAATAAAGATAACTTGCTGTGCTGTGCAAAACACTTGAGCCACGCTGCATTAGGAAAATGGGAAACAGGTGGAGAAATGTTTTAAAATATGTTCAAGCAATCACGGAAAAAAGAATATAAAGCAAACAAACAATTTGGCCAATTCTAATAAGCTTAAAAGTCAATATTTAGTATGACGGCCTTTA